GATAAGTGAGTTCTTTCCACAATTTTATCCATTTTCGAGCTTACATTTACCTCCACTAGAGCATTAGAGTTGAAGGTTTCAATAAGTTGGGCAGCATGTTCATCAGTAGTGTGGTTTACAGGATGGTCCTCATTCTGAAAACTTTCACTATCTACACTTTCAAACTCATCAGATTCTTCAGTGCTCATTTCATCCTCATAGTCACCATCTTTTGTGCTATCCTCTTCCCCATCATCCTCGAAAGAAGATTCTGCCATGTGAGTATTGTTAGTAATGTACATATCTTCACTCTCTTTATCCTCTTCCAAGCTGGTACCACTTATAAGTTTCAGATATGTGTTATGCACATCTCCCCGATCAATTAATTGATTATTCTTGGTGTTGTTGGCTTCTGTGTCCTTTCTATTGTTGGCTTCTTCATCAGTGTGTTTGGCAGTGTCCTTATCATTAGTGAAATTCCTCTGGAAAGAGTGTCTACTGTTTTAATAGACGCCTTGTTACATAAAGACAAGGACCTTTTGGAAGGCTCTATTTACTTCTTAAGAATACATGAGACGACGACTAACACAATCCATTTCAGCATTCATATGCTATTTCAGACATGTGAACGGACCTTAATCGTCGGAATATACATATACAAGTCATTCCCCCTTGAATTCCTTATAAACGGCAACGTAACTTATGGAATCATGCCTAATAAAAGAAAATAAGACCTTACATACCTCATAATATCCAGTCCAATCCTCAAGCTAACTTAACTTACAGCTTCTATGTCTACAAGCAATGAACAATACTTACGTCACAATATGAATGCCATAACTTATCGCATTTGACCGACACACTTTATTTTATGATAAAATGGGAAGTACCTTTCCCTGTTTATACGACTTCCCACAAGTTACAACAACCAACAACAGCCCAAACAACATCAACCATACTCATAATAAGTCGTTCAATACAATTTAATATTCCCGACAAGCGGCAAGCTCAGTTTGTGTCTAAACATCTGTAGTTTTAAACCCCTTCTTCCTTCCAGAATTTATCAACAACATTAACCGCCACATATTCAATTATGCCTACAAATGTTTAGCCACAATACAACTTTGAAATGACCCCATAACATTCCAACAATTTCAGCAACTCAAAACTTATTTTTCAGATTACTAAAACACGTTTTCAACTTTTGTTTTCTTTCAAATCGAGCAACACAACCAACAATACATAATTAAGCCTCTTCTCATATAAAACAGCCATGAATTCAAATTAATATTAAGTTCACAACCAGCCAACAGTGATCGAGCTACAACTCTTAGAAGCTGAGATAAGGGAAAGAGAAGCATAAACTTACCTTGAAGTAAGTAGAACCCACGAAAACTAGTCACTCTTAATCAAAAACCAGTCCCTCTTAATCAAAAATCAGTCCCCTATGCAGCTACATGAAAGAGAAAGGGAAATTAGCAAGTTGTCCGGGTTTTTCGGCACTAGAATCACTTTGTATCATCCGAAATCACCTAGGATTTGTGTTAGATTTTTGGGGGAGGAGTTGCTGCGTTTCAATCTGAATTTCATAGTCTGAAAAATGAGAAAAAGAAATGATTTAATTCAGCCTTTAAAAGGCCCCTTAGCCGCCCCTTTTTGGGGATTTATTTGGTCCCTTCATTTAAACAAGTAGGTGACATACCTACTTGTCACCTACTAGTCTTTGCAAACTTGTGAAAATGCAAATATCTCTCTCCTCTGATATCGAATCAACTCTTTAATGAGTTCGCAACTAGACTCATAGAAATTCAATTTGGTTGGTGGATCACCCCATAACTCCAAGTATATTGGTAGAAATACTCAATGATATTAGACNGGCTCCGCCTGTGTCAGTGAGAAAATTAGCCGCTGGGTTAGCCGTTTGGTCAGGTGGGTCAGGTGGTTGGGTGGGGTCTGCAGCAGCGTTTGTCATTTAGAGAATGGGAGAGAGATTTTTAGAGAGAGAGTGCTTTTCCTATATTACTTTACCTAGAATGACACTTAGTTCATTTGCATTTAATATTCATGATTGTTATAGCAATATTTTTTTTATTAATTTTGAAGTTATAAATATTAGAAAAAAAACTAAATGACAAAATTATATTTAATGCGTATGATATAATATACATGTTATCCATCATTAATTATTTATCTTTTATATTAAAAATTATAAATCACCTTAAGACTTTGTGCACGTGTGAAATATTCAAATTAACAATTCTCAAGATGGTTCAAACAAAATCAGAAAAAATGGAATTGACATGTTTGATGATTCTTACGTGGTTAGTACTACAAAATTAAAATGAAGACAAAATTTCTAACGTGTTAAAAACTTGGAAACATGTTAGGAAAATACTTACACAATTTAAATATGAAAAAAGATTATATAAGTAAAATTAAATTCCTAAATATAAGAGTTTCTACCTAGTTCAGATAAGGAAGAATTTAATAAATAAAAATTAATTGATTTTTAAAGTCCTAAATATTAAGTATATGTAAATTACAATTACAAATTTGTCCAATTTGAAATCTATTTTTAAAGGGCAAAAAAGGCGAACAACATTTCGCTAAGGGCCTTCGTATTTTTAATATTTAATAATATAGTAATAGATAATAGATATAGATATATGTATAAATCATGCAGGTTATAAAAACATAAATTGCGGTAAGATTACTACTCACAGTACTCATGTGAAATACCAAACTCGTTACCTCAAGCGATACGTACGACTTTCTTCAATCAATCTATAACTACATCAACATCGATCTCGTGTTAATCGTCTCATTTAGGCTAAATTTCTCACTAATTTAGAATACCCAATCCTCCGAATTTCATATTTTATCAATTTGCCGAATTATATTTACCCATCCTATGAGTAATTTAAACTAGTCCAAAATCTTTTAAATAAAAGGCGTTTATATATAGTTTATTCCATGTACTATTTAATTTCCTTAATCATGTGTATAAGTTGAAACTTAAATAACATTGTTGTCCATTATATCCCTTTTTGTATTTAATTTTCAAAACCCAATAGAACCCCATAAACACAGAAAGAGAGTATGAGGATGGTGTTTAAAATATTTTTTTATTGTAAACGATAGAAAATATTTGGTTGATTTTTTTTAAATAAAAAAAGAGTGCTTGAAATTAGTATTGAAAAGGATATTTGAAAGTGTGATTCAATTGGGGAAAAGTCGAAGTTTTATGTTTCTTTATTGGGATCTTTATTTGAAGTGAGTAAAAACCATTTTCACTTAAATTATCCTCGAACCAGTTTATAGAAATTTAATTTTTCTAGTACAAGTTGAAGTTAAAAGAATAGACCCAATATTTGTTAAACTTCTTTTCCAAATATTATCTATGGGCAATGACACAACATAACAACTTGGATACTTCTAAAATAAAGGCCTTGGCATATAGGAGTACAAATATTTTCTCCATTAGGTAAAAATATTTTCATTGGAGAACATCTTCACAATTTAAAATAACTGAACAGTAGAATATATTTTCTTAGAGAAAAATCATTTCCTAGAATTTAGAATTTGTTTTCGGGGCAAGAACTTAAAAGCAAATGAAAGTTAAGCAACATTTTAAGTTTTTAACATAATCAAGCTGAATAAAAGTGTCCAGAAAAAAAGAAGTGAATAAAATTACCATTCCACCACAACATTTCACAAAAACCAACAGCTAGTGATTTCCCTATCGGGCCGGGGTTCAGTACGACTGCAGCTGCCATTGCTCACCGGCAAAGGAAGATGAACTCATGGGACGAATGGGTTGAGTTGGCACTGCTGAAACTGGAGTCGCGTAAACTCCTTCGTTCTCTTAGACCCATTCATCTATCCAAGGATTTAAACATGTTAAGCTCTTCTAATGCCGACGGCTTCGAATTTTTCGATGAATTACGCCAATGGGATAGAGAAACAGTGGAAGTTCAGATTTCAGAAACTACATACCATCAATGGTTGCAAGACATACCCAGTTCTGGTGCGGGTTATGTTTACTCCATTTCGTTTTTTTTTTTCAAATTTGTTTTCGATTTCAATTTTAGTCTTCTCTTGTTGGTAATTTCACCATTTAATCGCCGGCGAAAAGTTTCGTTTTTTTGTTGCTAAATTTGGAAATAACGACCTAGGTATCAGCGTTAGAATGCTCTAAATTCTAATCACATAGGCAGAATTTAGTATAAAATATAAATTTTTTTTCCTGAAATACTGTTCAACTATGTATGTAGTTAAGTGCAGCAGTGCAGCCAGGGGCATACGCATGGATTTTTATAAACGGTGTCAAAATTTATAGAAGAACTGAAATAACAACTTTAATTATCATACTTTTAGATAAGAAATAGCCTTAGTGTACTGGTTTTCTTGAGTCTAAGTTAGACACGCCAAGATATAATCTATGTCCAGTGGTGTCATTTTTTTTTAACTTATCCGATTCCTTACAGTATAAATACATATATTTAGTAAGATTCTACGACGACACCGCTTCATTAAACGTGCATCCGCCTCTGAGTGCAGCCCCTCTGACTAAATATGATACTGGTTCCAGAAAAGAATGATACAAATGCTTATTCTGTACTTCTCTTCCGTCGGTCATTCCACAAAGTTGAAATGTTCTCTTCACTATCTTCTTTAAAATTTCCTTGTAGGAGATGAGTTTGGTTGCAATGGTGTGGCGGATACTGAAGTAGGGGCAAGTGCTGGAACATTCAAGAAGTTAATTTTATTCTCCGGAAATGATTATCTGGGCTTGAGTTCGCATCCTACAATTATCAAGGCTGCAACACAGGCATCTAATATGCCTCTTCAACTTTGAGTATATTAATGATTTTTGGCTGCTACTAAATGCTCCCATTAGCTAATTTGTTATAATTGTTGTGTTCAGGCAGTTCAAAGGCACGGAATGGGTCCAAGAGGTTCTGCACTAATATGTGGTTATACCAATTATCATCGACTGCTAGAGTCATCCTTGGCAGAGTTAAAAAACAAGGAGGTATTCACTTATTTCTTTGATAATTGCCTTAAAGTTTCGAATAGTGAACTTGCTTAAATGGAAAACAAATATAAATACTGTAAATAATTGCAGGCATTGGAAGGGTGAAATGAGCTGGCATCTCACGTCATTCTCCTAATTTTCTTTGCCTTCTGGTACTAGAAGAACTTAGGGCCACTAATGCTGCATGAGGGTATATAAAAACCCATATGTTTGTTTATATGAAGCATTCATGTTAGAGTAATGTGGAGTTGGTATAGTAGTATGGCACACGTTTCCCTTAGCTTATCAATTAATCGAATGTTTTTGTTATCTTCATATTGATGTTGAAATCAACCGGATTGCTGGAGGATGTCATGTCTAAAGTCTATTGTTGATGATCATTTTCATACTTCTCATTTTTTTCATAAATAAATTTAGTAAAAAATTACAACAGGAAATGAAAATCTTCATGTTTGTGAGCGCGTCGGGGATTTTCCCCATCAAAGAAGTCAATTTACCATACTTTATCCGTACCTTCATCATGGTTCAATAATTACATTTTCTTCTTTCCATCTTATGAGTGTATTCATTGCTTCAATGAGCTTCTCACGAAACAATTAAATGAGAAAAATGCTTATCCACTTGAGAAATACCTGGAAAAAAAAAGGGAACTGACATTCTTTGATTTTCCTTGGACTTGACCACTAAACAGCTGTCTCTTCCTTTTAACTGTTGGAATTTGGATCTTTTTGAGCTGGCAGGAAAGAAATTTAGTAAAAACCTTTGGACTCAACCACCACTGCCATTATTATTTATACCAATCAACATTCTCATAATAGCAAATAAACTCCACAGAAATTTCTCAAACAGATCCAAATTCTCATGGTTGGAAGCTGATTGCTTATTCTTAGTAACTACTGGTGCTAGGTTTTTGATTTTGGTAGTTCCAGGATTTGAATAATCTTTCTGTAGGTTAAAATGTCAAATCTACAATGCTTCCATTTGTTGTCAAATTGATTCTTCATCTAGTTAAGAAACAACTCCTAAAAACAAATACTCCCTCCGTTTCAATTTATGTGAACCTATTTCCTTTTTGTCCGTACCAAAAAGAATGACCTCTTTTCTTATTTGGAAAGAATTTAAATTTATGCAATGATTTATAGCTACACAAAATATTTGTGCCTCATTTTACACCACGAGTTCAAAAGTCTTCTCGCTTTTCTTAAACTCCGTGCCCAATCAAATAGGTTCACATAAATTGAAACGGAGGGAGTACAAAAAAAAAGAAAAAAACAGAACTCTAAATGTTCCTCACTATGATAAACAAAACCCCCGAAGAAAAGAAAATTTGAAAAAGAAAAAGAAAGGGATAACTACCTTCTTGTAATATGACCGGAAAATGCAGTGGCGTCCAGTTTTACTCTTAATAGATTTGATTCTCGCATCTAGTGGCAAAATTACTTCCAGTTAAGGGAGTAATAGCCCGTTTGGCCAAGCTTCTAAAATCAACTTATTTTGAGAAGTGCTTTTCTCAAAAGTACTTTTTAAAAAAGTGCTTTTGGTGAGAAGTAGTTTGTGTTTGGCTGATTAATTTGAAAAGCACATTTGAGCAGTAATTAGTGTTTGGCCAAGCTTTTGAAAACTGCTTCTAAGTGTATTTTTCTCAAAAGTGCTTCTCAGAAAAGTGCTTTTGGAGAGAAGCTACTTTTTTCTGCTTCTCCAAAACTGCTTCTGCTTCTCCTCAAAAGCACTTTTTTTCCTTCCAGAAGCTCGGCCAAACACCTCAATTTTTTGCCAAAAGTATTTTTAGGCCAAAAAAGCACTTTTGGGCCCAAAATAAGCTTGGCCAAACAGGCTATAACTGTCACTGACTTGATTGCTATGAACTACTATCAAATTACATCTCTGTCTGCCTTCATATTCTTATTACAAGAATGTGTTGGTATCACAGACTTTCATCTTTACCGTCTGAGTACAGAATACATATTAAAATGAGAAAACCCCATGGAATCATTTTAACTGGCTGATAATTTCCAAAATTTGCTCTTCATAAAAAAAATTCAAAAGTGGCTTTGAGTCTTACTGCTGAAGACTATGATGCAGGAACCTGCACCTTTTAGGGGAATCACTGATATAAACTGATGCATTCTTCCTCTAATTTCATATTAGGATTGCCTTCTTTGTCCCACAGGCTTTTCAGCGAACATGGCTTTTATGGCTGCTGTAGGCAATGTCAGTATGCTCTTAGCCAATGGAGGTCAACCTTCAGTAGATGCAAGGGTTGCTGTCTTTTCTGATGCCCTGAATCATGCATCAATTATTGATGGTATACGCCTAGCTGAGAAACAAAAGAGCATAGCTGTTTTTGTCTACCGGCATTGCGACATGCGCCATCTTAATGATCTATTGTATGCTCCTATTTTATTTTGTTTTTCTACCTTCCATGGATGTTATTGTCTCTTTGACTAATAGTGCATTTGTGTTTTAACAGAACAAATTGTACAATGAAGAGAAAAGTTGTCATTACTGACAGGTTAGTCTCAATTAAAGTTTCAACCTTTATCAATTTCATATGCACTGGCATCATCCAAGAAATCTACAACGAAAAGAAAGACAAAACAGTAAACATAAAAGCTGAGATAAAAGAACAAAGGGGTTATGACGGTGCTGAAGCCGTAATGTACATAGAGTCTTTGATTGAGTTATTTGTATGATATCTTTTGCTGTGCAGAGATGATGCAGTGATTGCTAAAAGTAGTTGTAGGAATATTTGATGAATCCTCAGTTTTGTTCTTATTACCAGCTTATTTAGTATGGATGGAGACTTTGCCCCAATGCTTGAGCTTGTGAAGCTTCGTAAGAAGCATGGATTTTTGTTGGCAATTGATGATGTAAGTTTCAAAGCACCTGATACAAAAGTCTGTCATTTTATCAATTGATGATGCAAGTTCCAAAGCTTCTGATTCCAACACCTGTCACCTTATTTTGTTACTCTAATATCACCATAGCTCTAGATATTAAAGTTTCCTTCTTTTATACGTAAATCTAGTGCATATTTTATTGGAAATTTTTACAAAGTAAATGATAATTAAAATTTCACCCCCGGGTCTTTGTAGTGGTAAGTGCGTAATGTGTGATGCGTGGGTTAGGCGTACATCGCGGATTCGAACCTGCTTAGAATTTAACTGGAGAAGGATAGAGGGGCGGCCCCGTTATCCATTGAGTTTCGGACCAGGCACCACTAGCCTGGGGGATTTCCCAGATATAAATATAAAATAAGTTAAAATTTCAGTCTCCATGTTCATTTACTTTCTTCCTAAATCCTGATCATGTGATCATTTGTTACAGTGAACTGCATTTTTCTACTTGTATAGTTAAATTGGGTTGCTATGATAGCATAATTGATTGTGACAGAATTTAGTTCTTCTTTCCCTCTCACTCGTAGGCTCATGCAACATTTGTTTGTGGTGAAACTGGTGGTGGGGCCGCTGAGTTGTTCAATTGTGAAAGTGATGTGGACATTTGCCTAGGTACTTTGAGCAAGGCTGCAGGTTGCCATGGTGGATTCATAGCATGCAGGTACAAGTATTGAAGGAACAGAGGAAACTTGATGCATATGCTCTCTGATTTAGCATTATCGTGTACTGCATGGATTTATAGTTCTTATCTTCTGTTGATTAATTTGTTCAATGGACCTGAGACTTGCATTTAGGAGTAAAGTATTTTATGTACTGCTGAGAGTCCCAACATTGAAACCAGTTGACAGTTGAATTACACTTTGGTGCCAGTCTCGCTTCATGAGAACTTGAACTAGTCTATGTAGAAGATAGATTTTGCTTACCTTTATTTGTGCGGATGATGCATACAACTCTGGGTTTAGATCTGGTTCTCTATCCCTGAAGTTTCAGTTGAAGATATTTGTCCATGCAAAAGACAATACCTGGTCTGCTGTATTTGCTTTTATTCCTATTACATGTGGAAGTTTTTCCTCAAACAACAGCACATATATATTGAACAATCCAATGATAGCTGCCTTTATTTGAAAAACGAAAGAAATTCGATTATGGCCACACTGCCACCTTTTTGAAACTCAAATTGATTTTTGTGAGCCACAATTGCTTAATGGACACACTTGACTCGGGGATCTCTCGGTTATTAAAAAGATTGGACTACTAGGTACATGTTAGATAGTCATATTGACCATTATTTTCAATCAGAAGTTATTATTTACAGTTCTTCTATTTTTTGGGGTTGAATTGTTGAAATGCTAAATGGACAGCAAGAAATGGAAGCAATTGATACAATCAAGAGGCCGCTCTTTCATATTTTCAACTTCTACCCCGGTGCCTTTAATTGCTGCTGCCCATGGTAAATCTACTTATCAGAATGGAAAATTTAGTTATTGCTCTTATTTGAGGCCATTTTATAGATGACGGTATTTGTTTTTGTATCTCATGATCTCATCTATTAGCGGAGAGAAGTGGAGAGTTTCTCCTTCGTTCCTTCCTGCCTTTTCCTTCCTTCGTTTTCACTTAAATAATGGTGGTATCGGTCCACTTTGCATGCACCTTACCTTAATCCTCCCACAAGTACCGAGTAAATCTTCCCACCAAATCTTAGATAGAAGAGAAGAAATCACCCTTTTTTGTCTCTGGTGTAATTCAAACCTTGGTCTCTCATGGTCTTTGTTCCATCTTCATCGACTAACAGGGTGCTAGAAATGGATAGCCTTATCTGGCACTTTAAGTGAAATGTTGTCTTTCTCAATCCCATATTTATGGGCAACTTTTTTTCATTATCCTAGATGGAAAAATGCAAAGGAAATGTGGCCTATTAAAAATAAGTGTGAGCTGGTAAACTGAACCATGTTAGCATGGAGACTGGACATGATTTCCGAACTGCGAGCTTATTGCGGCTTACTTATACATTGTTAATGATGTAACGTATGTAGCTGCTGTTGTTGTGGCAAAAAAGGAGATGTGGCGTAGAAGAGCTATTTGGAATAGGGTGCAAGATTTCCGTGATTTAACAGGAATTCCCATTACAAGTCCTATCATCTCCCTTATTGTGGGAAATGAAGCGACGGCTCTGCAATCTAGCAGGTTACCTTTCTTATGTCTCATCTCTCTTTGTCCAGCAGGGTCTCTATTAAGTCTTAGTTTGTTCATAATTGTCTAATTCATCCCTTAACAGGCATCTTTTGCTACTTGGCTTTCACATAACTGCAATAAGACCGCCAACAGTGGCTCCTAACTCATGCAGGTTTGTCGCTGATTTATCTCTCTGAAGTTGTGATGACTGCTGATGATTTTTTCACATCTTCATCTGCATGATAATTATATGACATCACTTTCTTTATAGTCTGCAATTATAGTGTTGGGGCGTCTCGTACTTGGCGATGTGTAGGATTTTGGGTTGGTTTTCCTGCATTTCCTCTTTGTTTTAGAGGAACTTTGAATGAAGCTGTCCTCGATTGACATGCTTTTATGATGTTTTTGGTCATCAATTGCACCTTGCTTGATTTGTTTTTTTTTTCTGACAGTGGCTTATCTTGGACTTTTACTTGATAAGCAGTTCAGAATATTATCCTACAAATGCAATAGGTTCATTAATTTTTACTTTCTTTTCTCATTTTCTCTGAACTCAAATTCTCTCCTGTCTTCTCCCCTCTCCTCAGGTTAAGGATAACACTGAGTGCAGCTCACACATTGGGTGATATAAGAAAGCTCATAGCGGCGCTGTCTCAATGTGTCAACTTCAGTGAGATCGGATTCTACTGCACAAGCTGGAATGCCCGACTCTAATTATATTTATTTGTTTTTCGTCGATGCATTTGCATATGTAGAAGAGTGAATTTAAATATGAAATGCAATTAATGAAGACATCTTCACAAGAGTGACTTATAATGGTCATAGCATTCAATAGTAATGTAGCAGGTCTTATTTTCGTACAGTAAATACGAGCGGCAATTAATGAGAACGATGCCTTCTTTCAGTAAGTGAAATCGTGCATTATTTACATGGTTTTTGCCCCTTCTGGCGATGAATTCTAGCAGTTAATGAAATTCAATTATAATTTTGACACCCAACTGATGAAGGGTACGAAGTCTGTTCTCAGTCACTTGCTGGTTTAAATGAAAAATTTAATGCAATAAATCATAGTATCATTTTGTCAAGTGTCAGTTGAACTCGAAACATATATTTCTTCAACTTTACCTCGAAATTGGATATTAAATGCTGGAGTATATTTCCTTCCATGCAGATTTACATACTTCATCCACCGGTTCAACCCAATTACCCAAATGACCAGCAAAACAGAACGATACAGAGAGCCAATACCATTAGAATAACAGCATCAATAGCAAAAGCAAAACAAGGCCAAAAAAGCAGAATCTTCAACTTATATACGCTTGGAAACGAAAGGACCTAGTAATAGTCTAGATACTATACTCCATTTAGTTCCCCTAAATATGAACCAGTTGCCAATTTCTCATCCAATGATGGACTCATCTGAGGCATCGGTGTTGCTTGGAGTAGCCAGAACTAACCAACTTGCAGCACCCTGGGGCAAGGATGTGGCTGAGGAAGAGCAGCATTTGCTTGCTTGTTGCTGACCTGAGTCCTTCCCACTCATGGCCACCTGGCTGGCCCTGTCATCTCTTGAAGCTTGCCATGGTTTACCCGTCTTGTCTCCATTCACTGGAGAGGACAATGTCTTGAATACATACATACACAGAGAAGGTGGCAATCAATTATTAAGTCCTTTCTACAACATAAAGAGAGCACTAAAATGCAAGTAATTTAGCATTGAAGAGATAGGATGGTAAACTCACATGAGGCATGACAGTAGTTGTGGTTATAGTTTGCCTTGACGTTGGGGCTTGCCGAAATGCTTCCCCAGCGCTAAAAGGGACATCATTTAAGTTGATCAGCGTGGTTGTTTTGTTGCTAGTAGAGTAATTCTTATCCCCAGCTTCATAGCGAGTCTCACTAGAGATGGTGGAGACAGTCACAGTGACAGCTCGTCTTTCAGGAACAGGCTTGACAGGGGAAACTGGCTGCTGCTGCTTATTATGCTGGTAGTAAGGCAGCAGTGAAGGAGCTGCTATGGCAGTGGAAGAAGAGACTGAGGGTGGTGTTGGGACCATATGAACATCTTCAACCTGGACCATAACCTTGGACATGTTGCCACCATTGTTCTTGTTGTTGCGAACCATGTTTGGCCAGAGGAAACTACCCTGGGGCTTGCAGATCCTGAAACCACTCTTAAGCCTTTGTATCTTGGCAGCTTTTTCCTCAGCTGTTGGAGTAGCTTTTTGTGCTTTTGTGACTGCTTTCAGCTTGGGGTCAACTGCTATTAGCTCCTTGCTCTGATCATCAGCAGCTACTTTTGATCTCTTCTTTTCCCCCACTGTTACTACCTCTTGCACTCCCTGTTTCTCTGGTTCCACTTGCTTTTTCTTTTCTTGTGTCGACAACATTAATGTGGAGATTGACTTTTCTTTTTCTTCCAGTTTAGACACTAGGCTCAGACACTTTTCCTGTATTCATAACCAAAGCACCCATTTTAATAACCAGTCCATACAACATTTATTACATATCATATGTACATGCTACAGTAATATGCATTTACTTCCTAACCAGTCAAACATTAGTCTCAACGTATATTCCCAGTCACCCCTAACAAGAAACATAAAAACTCAGAGAACCAGAGAGGGGGAATATTGCATGTTTGATGGATAAGAGGAATTAATAAGAATTGGGTGTCTCAAATGTAACTCGAAGCACAAGGTGGAAGTGTTAGTGGCATCTAATTAATTCCAAGCATTCATGTGGCTATATGCAAAGCAATAGCATGGCTCCAATTTGACCAATTTAAACTTTGGGATCCAATACTAATTTAAAATAAAATCACAGGACTAGAATTTATTCAAAAAGTTTAGTTACTTAATTGATTAGAATACCTCCATTTTGGCCATAAAATCTGAAGTGGTCGTCATTAATTGCTTCTTGTACTTTTCCTGCCACAAAAATAGAACATGAAGTATAAATATCAAACGGGTTAGGAATAATAACTTTGAAACAAATCAATGACAGACTACTACTATGTCTTTTAAAAATTACTCCATAAATTACCATTGTCTTTGAAGTCTCAATAGCTTGGCTTTGCTTCTTCTTGGATTCAAGCTCCTCAATCCTTCTGCTCAAACAAAAAAAAGAACATATTAGCACAACCATAGATTATATTTCACCAGCGAAAAAGCTTTGAATTACAGTAATCATCAATACAGTATTCACCTTTTCAGCCTTCCAACTTCTTCTTCCAAGTGTTCCTTGGAACTCACTATTTCCTCCCAGTCTCTGTTTACGATTACAGACATAGCAAAACCCATCAGTGCTAGCTACACATAAATAATCATACAACAACTTAAATTTTTTCCTGTTACATAGACATAATATGCACATTGAAAACCTAGTGAAGAACTTTTTGTTAATTACCTTTTGAGTACAAAAATCTCATCTTTCAGGTGCTTGAATTCCTGAGCACAAATGGGGTGTTGAATGGGGGAGTCTCCAAGCTTCCAACCAGGTGGGGGAATCCAATAAGGATCATTAACACCAGCCTCCTTCCTGATATTAACTAAGTCAGCACTCTCCAGCCAATACTCCATTGCTCCCTCAGCATTGTGCCTGCGGCGAAAACGTTCAGTTCCTCCAGGTGCAATCTTACCGGCCAAGTGCTTGAGCAGATGATCCAGCAGGCCCGTATCTCCAATGCTCTTTCGCGCCTCTGCTCTCAACTCTGGCCTGATAATAGGGTTATTAGCCGTTGCTCCCTTTGCCTTCATCACCTCCATTAAGTTTTTCTCCGCCAACTCGTACCTGAACACATTAGAAAAGTGAAATGGTTCAGGGGTCTTTTTTTTTCCTTCTGAAACTGCAATACATATAAAGTACTCCTATTTAATTACCTCTCAGCAGACCAACGGTCTTTGGGGTCTTTGTATACTGACAAAACCCTGCATTTGTTTTTCTTCTTAATCTTATTTTTCTTCTCAGGACCCGTTGTTGTCTTTGCCTTTTTCTTTACTGTAGTAGCTCTAAAGCTATACCTCTTTCTCTTTAGATTCTTGTTAGTCTTTTCTGTTACAGCTTCCTCATCATCGTCCTCTTCTGCTTCTTCATCTTCTTGCTTTACTGATTCACCATCGATTTCATCTTCTTCCTCCTCATCTTCTTCTTCAGATTTTTCTGGTGTTTTCAGTTTTGGAATTTCTTCTCCTCGAACAAAGCTGGAAGAAGACTTGGTGTTGTTGCTTTGGTCTTCGTGTCTCCCCAGAAACTTGACCTGCCGGCGTATCCCCCAGGTAACCATACCATTGACCTTAAGCTGAGACAAGCAGATGCCATTCTTTGCAGCAGGAACAGCGCCCAAAGTAGTATAGTTGACTAACCAGAAGCTATGAAGATGTTTCTTCTCGGCGAACTCCTGAGAAGGAACTTGACGAAGAAGCACTTTACTAGCCAGAGCTGTTCCCATTACGAACTTCTCATCAAAAGCTGGATACATTTCTCGTTTACTATTGCTGAAGTATGTTTGTAGTGACTGCATGCTCGGGTACCTCACTGCTACATTCAACACAGTTCTCTCGCTCACCTGAAAAATCAAAACATATTTCGGTTAATTAGTCTAGGTTCAAATTTAAAACCAGAAAATAATTTTTGTAACATCAGGATTGTCTCACCATAGCAACTCGGATGGACTTGAGTTGAACTGGGGTCCTAGGAGGCAAATATATATGATCAATCTCGTAAATAGAACCCATCTCAATATTCATCTTTGCATTCTGCAGAATTTCATGGTCTGCTGAAAAGCAAAGAAAAGGATCATAATAAGAAAACATTTCCCAGAAACTAAAGCTACTTTTGAGAACCCAAAAGCTTACTTATTAGATATATAGATACTACTACACAAAGACAAATGCCGAAATGGGGGTTTAAGAAATTGATTCATATGAGGTTAAAATACAGTACAAATAGTACAGAAAGAGAGTGAGTGAGTACCATTGCGTTTTAGGGTACAGCGATCAGATGTGGGCAGAAGAGGTTGGTTGTCATGTCTGGCCAAAGCTGGAGTGTCTGCGCAGGCGACACTGCTTTGCTTTTGCCCTTTCAGGTAATCCATTTCCTGTACGTAGACGTATATACAATAAAGCTGTATTACAAAAGATGAACACCCACTACCACCATTATCCTTTCTCTCAGACTAGTACGATATATATATGCACGTACTCTCTCTCTCCTTCAAATATATGTCACAGAATATACTCTACACGAGTTTATTATATACACTATATCACCGAGAATATTATATTAAGATGCATAATCTGATAGTATTTGTTTAATAAGTGTTTCTTTCGCCCCACTCATGCGGGTTATTTAGCAATCACCATCATCATTATCAAGCAGATTTCTTTTTGTCTTTTTGCAGGAAAACACAATACATGCACGCACTCGTATTGAAAGCTACTGCTCAAGTAAAAATACCATTAATGTGGCGCGTGCATTTATTCATAACAATATGTTAAAGGCGCGTGTAAAGGAATCACATTTAATGGAGCCAAAGAATAGCATAACAGAAAAAGGAAACTTTCAGATACTGATTTTCTGATAAAAAACCACCTCCATGCCTGAAGTAGTGCACCTATCTAGAGAGAGAAAAAGCGTTTAGAGAGAGAGCTTACGAGGTTGGCTTGAATGGCTTTTCTGGATCTTTTTCTGTAGTAAGTTTCCATTGTTGCCAATATCTGTAGGCAAATAAAGCAAAGAATACATATTTATGAGTGACTAACGCTAATGATTTGCATAAAAAGTTGGATTTTTTGGGGTTAAATTCCAAAAAGTTGAAAATGACTATATATCTGGGTAAAACAGAAATCAAAAGATAAGTGGAGTTGAGCTGCCATTAGGGTTTTTCCCCAGAAACGATCAGTTCCATGAATAGTAATGCATTAAAGATAGCGGCTGAAAAGCAAAAAGAGCAAAAACACTCATACGGATAAATACCCAGACATGAACTGCATGTGCTAACCCGGCCCTCAGTTTCCGTACATTTCAACACTCTCCTCTCCTGTATACGCCAACTGAATATTTATATATTCATATAATATTCATCCATACACAAGCACTGATAAAAAGGTTAAAAATCCCAGTGCTTTTTGACTAAACTGCTGCTGATCAATCAGAAAAGGCTGTAAACTTACGGAAATCTCTAATAAATGATTCACGAACTTTCATATTCATATCAAAGCAAGACCAAAAAACAAGAAGTTGTGATCTTTTTGGAGATTTTTAGTTTACAAAGAGAATAAACACATGAAAATGGTTGCAATTTCGAACACCCTAGAGTACTCCATTTTTCTTTCCCTAGAAAAAGAATCAAGATGGTTTCTTGGAAAAATAATTACAGCATCAAAAGAAAGAAACCCTAACTGTCATATATCCCTTCCCGTCTATGCACACATACATACACCGATACAAACATTTACACATGACAGCGAGAAAGAGTCAGAGATATTATTCATGCGCAAGAGTACAAACACGGCGATTGAGGATTGAAGTGAGAAATAAAAAGAAGAAAATAAGAGAGAAAATGAAAAGCTATACCTATCGTATATGATGAAATTAAAGACACTGAAGTATGGAGAAAATGCCGTGGAAGCTGAAGAGAGATAGTGAATGGGAAAGATAGAGAGATGGTTAAAAAAACATGTATATAAATGGAGTTTAGATGATTCTGGAATTTGGAATAATAATTCGGAATTGTGTTGTTGCAAAATGCAACGAAAAAATGGAGTGAAGGAGGTTGTTATAATAAGAGTTGCGGGAGCAGTACTCTGAAATGAAATTGAGCAGCAACGGGAGAGAGAGAGAGATGATAAAGTAACTGATCTGGTCTTGGTCCCCCGCTATGTAAAAAGACGACTCTGCCCCTACGTGATGCTACACTGGCCTTCTCTTTCCTTCCATTGTTTCTTTTGTGTTTCTTGCTATTGCGCAATATTGACAACGATTCAAACTAATCAAAACTTTCGCCGAATTCATATATTACATAAAGATCTGTACTTAATTTGCCTTATAGAGCTATAACAATTATTCAAGATTATATATGAAATAAACAATGCCAACTTTAGGTGGATTTAAATTTTAAGCATATGGATACAAAATATTGCAATTTGGACATAAAATTTATAATTTTTTTAGGAAAAAATAATATTTAGAGTTAAGTTGAAAAATTATATTTGGACATGCATTTTACATGAAAAAATATTATAATTTTATGAGGGAAAATGAATTCGTACTTGAAAAAGTGGTAGAAACTACTTTTTTAATCGTCTTCAAGAAAAAATTCAAAAATTTAGCAACAATATTTTGAAAATGAGTTTCGAAAAGAATTTTTTAATTATGAACAAACAGGTCCTTAATTTACAACTTACACGTAGGGGTGTTAGCATGAACTCGTTAACAATATGCCTGAGTTACAATAATTTGCTCTGCTGATCGACTATGAACAATTTGTCATGAATGTGCATGCCTCAGACGAGTATTATAACCCC